TGCAGCCCTTCAGCCTCCCCTGCACAAACTCCCAGGGAAATTGCTGTTAAAACGAGGGTCTCTGTGGCCTCGGCATCGTCGCCGGCGATAAAGATCTCACGAGACGAGCGCTGCCCGCGTTCGCGCCGGAGCCGGCAGCGTGCTGGGGCTGGGCACAGGACCCGAAGCCCAGGCGGAGGGGATGCTGTGAGGGGAGCACAGGAACGCTTCTCAGGGATTAGCAAATGGAATTAGGCTCTAGCTTACTGTGGGATTTTCATTAATTCCTTCAGATATTTCTAGTTTTAAGTAGGCGAGTGTGGCTCGCAGGGCACATGAGTTTCTGGGGAGCAGCCCGAGGCTGTCGGCTGCAGAGGCAGTGGCTGAGCAGGAGCCCAGTTCCCACCCCTTCTCCTTCAGACCCCTGCAAACAAAACTTGTAATTTTGGGGCAAAACGTGCCCCCAGTGCCAAACCCAACACCTTCCCTGCAGTCTGTCCCGGGGGGAAGCCCTATAAAGTGGAAGGAATAGAGGACAAGAGGTTTCTTTGCAGCGTTTCACAACTCATCTCGCAGACTGGTGGTGGCTGCCAAGTCCTGACACAACACCTCCCCGTGTTTTGCATGTTTTTAGCTCAGGTCTTTCCTCTGCATCGCAGCCCCCTGCCCCAACCGGCATTTCCAACCCTGGCGCCAGCCTGAGAACCGCGAGATGTTTACATGGCAGCAAAAGGGGAGTCCTGTCATTTGCAAAGGAAAAAGAATATAATACTAATAAAAATCAATCATTACTGTCGAAGACAAGGTACAACCTGGCACATTTCACCAGATCCCATCCTGGAGGCGGACAAAAAGGTTTTTAAAGCATGAAGGGCAGAACGTTTTCTACAAAACTGCTAAAAGGGTGGGGGAGAGGAGTAAGCAGAAATTTTTTTAAAAGCACTTGTGTTATTTCTGGCCAGACCACCACGGAGTTTTCATAAAAAATTTAAAAACGCTCTGACTCTACCTACTGACCCGCTGCCTGAACAGGAAGCAGAAACGCGGGTGCCCTGGCAAGCAAAAAAACCCACAAAACTGCGTTTGGGGTGTTAGCTGGGCAGAGAAAGCCTAAGAAACTGTAAACAAGTAAAAATCCAACTTCTCATTCTCACCTAGAAAATACATTCCAGCATTAACTCCCCTCTCCTTTTCTTTTTTTAAAGAGAAACCAGGCATAGCCAGAGAACGTCACCAAAACCAGCGTGGGGACGACAGCGAGGTCTTATTAATCTTAATATTTAACAATCCTTCTGTAGAAATCCGGGGCAGACGTAAATCATCCCTGGACCCGCTCTGCCCCTCGCAGCCCACCCGCCAGCGCCGTGCGATCTCCCTGCGGTCCCCCGAGGACTCACTTTGAGCTGGGATTTGGAGACCTTGCCGCTCTTCTCCACGTCCAGGGCGGTGAAAGCATACCAGATGGACTTCAGCAGCTCCGCTCGCAGGTCCATGGCTACGGGCAGCGATGGCAGAGGCGGCTCCGTCGAGGCCGAGGATCCGGCCGCCTGCCTCGACAGCCTTGGGCGGTGGGGGACGCGCGAAGCAGGAGCGCCATCTGCTTGGGCGCGCCCCGGAGAAGCCCACAGGCCACATCTGGGCCCCACGGTGGTCCCCTGGGATCCATCCCTCCCGCCCGCAGGGACTGATCCCCCACTGCCAGAGAGAGGCACAGGTCAGGGCTCAGCGAGCACAAACCAGCCGGGGATTCCTAACCCTTTGCTAGCTCAGCCTAGAGATCAAAAGCTTTCTCAGCATTGGGGTTCTGCAGAGAAAAATCCCCCTCCCTGACTCAAATAGCAGCTTCCTCTTCTGCGATTGAAATGAAGAGCTTCCCCTCGCAGCAGCAGCACAGGCTGTGCCTTCTGGAAAGGCTCCAGCCCTGCACGTTTCGGGATCGGTTGCACCAAGGCAGGCAAACGGCAATCTCACCCGCTGCAGCCCTCCCGGGCTACACCTGCCCCTTGCCTGCAGAAGCCTCTTCTGCTGCAAACTTCTCATTTGTATCCAAAAAATAAAACACCCGATTGCTGGGAGCCTGCCCTGGTGTCAAGTTTACAGTTGGACTCTGATTTTTTCTAGCCTCAAGGGTTCTCTGCACTGGCTTTTTGCACAAACTGCCTGGGACAGGGGTAGGCAGGGGAGGGGCTGAGGTTACTCCTGGTGGGATGAGGAAGCCAGCCCAGGTCTCTCTCCTCAACTCACAGGGTTGTAGGACACATTCAGAGACAATTTTTCTTGTATTAAGTGACACAGTTTCCTAGAGCTAGGTTTGCAAGAGCAAAGCCTGATCTTGAGATTCAGGAGACAGCTCTCAGCCCCTCTAACACACACACTCTGGGGGGCTCAGAAGCTACACCTCGCTCATAGGCCTCCTCAGCACTGGTTTTGGTCAATCACTGCACTTTCGGTCAATTCAACAAATCTCCTGAACTTCCTTAATCCTTACATCTGCAGAACAGTAACATCCATCCCACCCTCTGCCAGCCACTGGCCCCAGGGACTTCAGGAGAGAAGGATGCTGCTTCTTCTGCTGTTTTTTTTTTAAAATAGAAAATTGTTAATTTGTTTTTATTTCAACCCAGTATTTACATCCAAGTCTAGCTCAGCCGACAAGTGCTGGTTGGCTTCCATGGAGGGAGTGCTCTGCTCTGCTCCACAGCACTGAGTCTGCCAAGAAAGTTTGCTCGAGAGCGGAACGTGAGAAAAAGATGGGAGAATTTACCGTCGGAGCCAGCCTGGGTGCTCGCTGCAGCATCAGGAACTGGTCACTGCACCAGACACCGAGCCCAGGACAGCCTGGGCTCCTTTTGATGCAGCTTTATTGCTTCTGTGCGTACGCTGCCCGCTCGTCCCTTAGCGGAGGGGTAGGCAGGAAAGGGGAGCTGGATCATTCCTAGAGGGAGAGAGTGGGAAGTGCCTCTCCCCCTAAAAATTTTGCACTCCCGGAGTCTGCCGAAATCTCTGTGGCTCCACCTCTACTGCAGAAGACTGGCAGGTCTTGGAAGTCTCAGCCGTGAAGAAATAAATACTAGAAGACACAATCTGCCGTTTCCTCCAGTCGGAGGGAGTCAGTGCCCGAGGCGAAGGAGCAGGAAAGCTGCTGCTCAGAGCCCAGCAAAACAGCAGAGCCTCAAGGAGGCAGCAACAACCAAGTATCTTCAACACTCCTCCTCGGAGAGAGGGGCCTGGGGAACAGGGTTGCTTGGGGAGCGCAGCGCTGCCGGCATCACCTCCTGGCACAAGCCAGCTGCCGCTCTCAGACAGCTTCCCCGGATCACGCACTGCACCTCTCCCGCGCCGGCCAGCCCGGGTCCTGCG